AGGCTTTGAAATAAAATTTCTGAACAACCCGAAAATGCTGAAAGAGTAAGAGTTTCCTACGCCTCTTGTCGAACACGCTAGGAAACGTGTTTGGTTTTATGAGCATGAAGACTGAGAAAAAGAGACAAAATATTTCGAATCCGTTTTTTGAATTTGTATCATACTTATATACTTGGACACTTTGATGGTCCATCTATACGGATTGTATGGACTCCAGCACATTTTCCATTCGTTTGTTCTTCTCACGATGGTCGTTCATGGTGGTGGTTTGATTCGAGCATAGCGACTGACGCGGGTTTCATACGTGACCTGTAAACTAGTGGTGGATGAGAGTACAGCTGATACAAAACACGTCCGCACAATGTGCGGGTGGTCGCCCAAGGGTCAGGGTATAAGCACATGGAGTCCACTCTACAGTCCATTTTGTCCATCTTTCGTCTGATCCTCTTCATATATAAGCGGTTCATCTGTGTTACGCTATCGCTGTAGGATCCTTTTGGATCACGAAGATGAGATAATTTTCACGGATCTGAGCTGCACAAGGCGGCTAGGTAGTGGATTGCCAGCTAGATCTCAGAAGACATCGTTCGAGCGCTCTGTGAGTTGTTCGCAGTAGTCTTGACGTGGTCGAGGTATCAGCTCTCGTCTCTGCCGCCTCGCAGAGCATAATATAACATTTGTATTATGTTGTATGGTAATACTGTGTTACATGAATTGATTATTGTTGCTGTTTTCTTATACAAACATATTCTATAAAAATATGTTACGTCACAAGTAATGTTATAAGTTGCAGATTGATGAATAAATAGTTGATAAATTGACAATTTGTGCTACTCTGTTATTATATGAGATATATTGTAACATGTTGTCTCAGTGATTTGAGCATATTATACTGTAAACAAAAGGGCTCGACCCAAAAAAACTACAGTGAAGCTTCGTGTTAGAAGATCGAACCAGCAGCATTTCTCGCCGACGGACGGCAGCACTCGTCACTCGTCAATACTAGCCGCTCGCCGTCGAGTCGCTACGTGCGCGGCGGAGCGGAGCTAATGTCAAGGGTATGCAGTACCGAACGGCTAATAGCTTTTCAACTTTTCGAACCATGTTAAAGCGTTTATGAGCCCAAAATACACTAGAAATACATTGCGTAGTTTTTGGACTCTAGAAAAAAAAGACGTACGATAGGACGGATAAGTTGCTTCGAAATTTTGTAACAACGATGGTCAAGAAAAGCGGCCGGCACTGATTTTTGTCTTCAATGTCTTTGCTGAAGAGTTCTTCTTTAGTCCTGTAACAAAACAATCTCTATCCAGAAAAAGTTTCCGCTAAATAAAAAGTAAGATGTATTCTTAATAATCTAGGTAGTGACATGAACCAATGGATAGTAGGGGCGTTTCAATGGAGGAGTACCGTAAACTGGAAACATTCTGCTCTTTTAAAAGTTGTTCATGTTGTTTATACACTTATTAATTGACAATCTGTGGGATTTTCTACCACTGAAATCGTTTTGTCATCTATAAATCATGATCAAAATGCATAGTACGTACACTTTATGATGCAGCTCCATCGAACACAGCAAAAATAATCATTGAGAAACTTGATTTATGCCGTAAGCTTCTGTTGCTGTTGAGTTGCTCCCAAAAAAACACGTGATTTTGGCATAATGATCAGATTTTTAGACTGCGTTTCTTCTCAAAATCTATTTTGGCATCTTGCTGACGAAGAAGAGCCTCCATCTTGGTTAAGAGGGTATCAGACTCAAACTTCGAAATAGCCTGCTTCCGTTTCTTAGCTTGTTATTACTTGAGCTAAACTGTGAATAGAAAAATTTTCCTAATACAACGGAGGTCAATACGAGACTGAAGGTCATCTGATTGTCGTTTATTGCCCGCATACTTTTTACCAGAATCATCATCTGTCGCATTGAAGAACAGTATTAGAAAGAAATGATGGTCAGACGGGCCGAAACTCACTCGAAAAGGGATCATAGTTGAGTGAAATCCACGAAATGATGGAACTCATTCAAATAGAGTTCATAGACCAGTCTACTAGCTGCGTTCCTGACAATATAACATTGTGCTGCAACCACACGTGTGCTTTAGTGAATGGTTTTACATCAGAAAGAATAACGACTTGATGATGGAATTCCCTCAGCAAAAAAAAGTGGGACAGATGGGTTACCTCAGCACGAAACAGGAACTGCCTAAGATATTAAATGTTAGACATAAGAACAGAAAGACAGGTGATACAAGTTCTACTTTCCCTCAAAATATAAAATGAACATAGACCGATGCCACAATTAACTAAAATGTACAAGAGACTATACAGCATTATGACAGCAAGCGCTACGACGCACACGGTCAAATTTGCAAAAGCTCGGTATTCTCTTCAAAGAGATCTCCAAAAAGGCTCGTTTCCACGAAAAAAATTATTTCTAATTCGATGACATATTCCTACTTTCCTTCTTTGAGCCAAACAAAAGGTGTCATGCTATTTCTTTATTCAACAGCTGACGTTTCGGCAGTGTTCACCTTTTTCAGAACCTGGAAAGACCAAGTTGTCTGCAATCCACTCCGTCAAACACCTTCAATACTCCTCCAGAAAAATGACTCATGTTTGACTTAAAGAAGAAAAATAGAAATTATTAAAGCATTTTGAAGTTTGATTAGGCAGTCGGTCTTGGGAATTGTTAGAAGAAGTATCAATGGCATATTGCAGCCGTTAATGTTCAAAAGTATGTGAGAAAGATTACTGGAGGCGGTGATTCAATCAACCGGAGTAGAAATTATTCACGTGCAATAAGTGTTCTTGTTGTAAAATTGTCTGAATATCTCTGATGTTTGAAGGCAGTCTACATATACTGTCGTGAGTTAAAGGAAATATGCGGGCACAAAATTAAATCAACAAATCACAGAAAACGAAAAGATGCCTGCTTTCTAATATCGAGCTCATATACTCAGAAAGCGGAAAGGAGTTGATTGAAAGTCAGTAATCAAAAGAGATATTTCCGGAAACAATCTCTACCCACAGTTATTGCACTATGAAAAGCTTACGGGATTTTCATTCAAAATCCTTACATCTTTAGAATTGATAGACTAATGCTGGAATGATAAGACTATTGCGTTGATTTTCATCAAAGAATTCTTCGTCTGTCATAATAAATTAGAATGACCAAACTGAATTTAACAATGGATATGGGGCAGCAGGAGCGACAGCACGCTTTTTTTCATTTCGCTCCAAGTGCCAAATCTTGTCTGTGATCATCAGAAGCACGATTAATAATGATATCACCACGAAATGACTCACTTCGTTTTATTCAGTCTACGACAATAAAAAAACGAAGAATCCTCAAATAACACAAGAAACAAGCGATGAAAGCTGCGCAGAAGGAAAAAGTCGTGATTATATTGGCGACCTAAAATCGATCACTATGAGAACACATTGTTGATGCGTTTCATTACTTGATTTTTTCATTCTACACGATTCCTCACCACGACTTAGTGTGTTGATTTCAGAGCACCCTCTACTTGATTCGGTTCCTCACACTCATTCTCAACAAGCTTATTTGAAAAATTCAAGTGTATCCTCGGCTAGTGCTTGAGGATTTCTTCTCCTTGAGACTGTTGTGAAATGCTGGTCGAGGCGATTCCTTGTACAGTCTTGGAATTAGTCAAGTTAGAGCCTATATCGCTAAGTGAATCATTGCTTGAAAATATTCAGAGGGATGGCACCAGCGCAGTGCGCTTCACTTTGCCTTCTGATACTGCACCACTGACCAGGTGAGAGATGATTTTTATGCGACCAGCTATCACATTTAATTGCGGGGATCTCAGCGCCTGCAGAATACAGTTTATTTTATCGCAACTGGTATCCTAAAACTTCTGCACCCTTCGAACCGACTGCTGTTTGAGGATTTCTTTCTTGTTCACGATTCCGCAGAATATTGGTTGAGCAGTTTTTTTGGAATATCTACGATAACCAGGTCAGAGCGTTACCACAGATTTGCAGGAGAGTTTTGGAGAAGAGATCGAGCCAGCATAACGATAAGCTCCTCATTTTCTTTTACACTGCACCACCAGCCACCCTATCACTTTTTACTGCGCAGCCGCAGTTTATTTGATATGGCTCATTTCCGTCATGGGGACAGGGAATTCTGAATAAAGATTTGTTGTTGGACAAAAATTTTCATTAGATTACTAGCAAAAAACTGAAAGCTTGATTCTCGGCGAGCTCAGAAATTTTCTTTTTCTAAAAAGCCTTGTCAGAACGCTAAAGCATTCAAAATAACATTATGTTTCACATGCGCGGGGCTAACTGCGCTTTTATGTCGCATTCCAGAGCTCTTTCCCTAGACCTTTGGCAACTATTGAGTAGCATAAATTTCGGTGATTTCGAAAATAGACTTGGTTTTGCAAAGTCTTTTGTACTGCGCTGTAGCAGGTGAGATAAGATTGAGTTTTACATGCGCTGGTTGAAACGATAGCACTGATCGATCGGAAATACAGGTGCGCTTCGTTTGTAGAGTGCGATGATTCTCATTGAATTTAGGATGTTTCTCCGGTTTAACAAGTAGCCTAGATAAAACAGACGGCTCTAATGATTGGAGATTTCCTCTACACGTCTATATGCTATTCGCGCTCAGGCTCAAACTGTTTGGGTTTGGGCTTAACGCCTAATCTCAATAGCTGACTTATTTGCCAATGTATATTGCAAAAAAAAGCCTAAGCTCTGAAACGGTAGAGCAGAAGTTTTTTCTAAAATGCAAGTAACTCAAAACCGTAATCAAGAAGCGAGATAATCTCAGATAAATAACAAAAATCCTTGCTATCAAATGCAACGAGTGTAAAACACAATTTTATTTGGAAAGCCACAGAACCGTAAGGAGGCTCTTCTGGTAACTAGTACATTTTGATTTCGAAATTCTAGTATTCCTACTGCCTTCTAGCAGTGTTATGATGTTACATATATACCTAAGAGAGCTGAGTGGTGAGCAAATACACAGCCTCAGGCGGGCATCGAACCCGCGTTTCATCCTATCCTGGGACGCGCGCTCCACCACTACACCACCGAGGAGGCACATTTGCTCGACCACTCATTCTCCAACATCTCTATGTCAGCTATCATCCATCAGACTTCAACAGGTTTGGTCGGGTATGCAATTTCGCTTTACAAACCCAGTTGAGCTGACAACCATTGTTTGATAGAATACTCCGAAAGTTTAGAATTTTTACTGCTTTTTTCGCATGTTTTTGCTCACCACTTAATCTTCTTAGGTATTTTTGAGTTCGCGAGATTTAGACTTCCAAATGATTATTGAGAGTTCAATGGAAAATCCCAACAAAAACACTTTCTCCAAAAAATCTCTTCCTGATAACGGAAATGACCCTTTGATGCCATTGATTGTCATAGTATTTTTATTACTTTGTTTAATATAATTTTTTATGTTTTTTACGAGGTAATCATTCTAAGTTAATGAATTCACAAAGATCTTTACCAAATTACCAAATTTTCAATCACTAGTGAATAATCTGTAGAGAACGATATATCACCTGTATCACCTGTGTCCCGTTGATCGTCGAGTGACTCCAGCTGGTACCAGCAACACTTCCATTTTTTCCTATCGCGTGCAAGAGTAGCCCAGTGGGTCCTCCTCGCTCTAGGGATTCGCTGAGCATCATATCTTTCTTCCATCGCTTTCGTGAAGAAATCGGACCAACGGGTCAGTGGTCATCCTTTAGAGCGCTTGACGTCCCGAGGAATAAAGTCGGTAACGGCTCTCGTCCATCGGTTGTCGTTGAAGCGCATCACGTGTCCGGCCCACCTTATTTTCCATATCCTGGCGTGTAGAACGGCGTCTGTGATTTTCGATCGTTGACGTAGGTCGGAACTTCGGATCCTTTCTCTCATTTGAAAAAAACGGGATACTCCTAGCATCGACCTTTCGACTGCGCAATCGATAACTCCAAGTGATCTTTTACCCTGCTTACGTAGCGACCAGGTTTCTGCTGCATACGTTAGGGCATGGATAATTGTCGAGTCGAAAAGGTGGGCACGGAGTCGGATGTTCTTTGTCCTCTTCACTACATCTTCGACGCTCTTAAACGTTCCCCAAACAGCTCGTTTCCTCCTGCTCAACTCTGGGGCTAGGTCGTTCATCATGTTGATTTCACGACCTAGATAGACGTAACTGGAGCATTCGGAGATTGTCGTTTCTTTGAGCGTGAATGGGGCATTAGAAACCCATCCGTTCCTAATGAACATTGTTTTCGTTAGATTCAGTTGAAGACCAATCTTTCCACAGGCGTTATCGAAATCAGGCAACATTCGTTCCGCTTGGCTGATGTTTGGTGTTATGAGAACCATATCGTCAGCAAAGCGAAGATGGTTCAATTGTCAACCGCCAATTTTCACTCCCATTTCGTCCCATTCTAATGTTCGCATGACGTTTTGTAGGGTGGCAGTGAATAGTTTTGGTGAAATTGTATCGCCTTGTCAAACCCCTCTTCTTAAGTCAATGGTGATATTGTTGCAGAAAGGAGATATTTTGGTCGAGAAATCTTTATAAAGCTCACGAAGGATCATTATGTACCGAGTAGGGACGCCCTGGTTATCCAGAGCCTCTATAACCGCTTCTGTTTCCACTGAATCAAAGGCTTTTTTGAGATCGATAAAAGTGAGACAGAGTGGTTGTTTGTACTCTCGCACAACTTCAATGAGTCTTGCGATCGTGTGGATGTGGTCTATGGTACTAAATCCTTTTCGGAACCCTGCTTGTTCGCAACTGTCCTTCGTCCAGTGTTCTGTCAGTCCTGTTTAGGACGACTCGAGTAAAGAGTTTATAAACAATAGACAGCAAGCAGATTGGACGATAATTGCCTATGTCGTGAAGATCTCCCTTTTTGAACAGTAATACGGTCTTGCTGGTTTTCCATTGAATAGGCACCTTGCATTCTGACAGGTAGCGAGTGAAAAGCCGAGCCAGGGTGTTGATGAGAACTGGCGGCAGATTCTTCAGATGTTCTGGTCTAATCCTGTCTGGACCGGGTGTTGTTCTGTTTTTCACCGACGATATAGCATGTCGGATTTCGGAAGGCAGGACCGGTGGGACGACATATTCGTCCTCTTTCAATTTATATGACGGTAAGAGGACATGGCTAGCGAAGAGATCCGAGTAGTATTGGAGGATGATTTTCTCCATAACCCTTCTCGAAGCTGTAAGTGTCCCGTCAGGGTATCGGAGTGCAATCATCTTGGTCTTATAGTTGGCGAAGCCTCGCTGGGCTTTCCGAATGCTCTTCCCAGCTTCTGCAGCTTCTGCCATAACTGCTGCTCTTCTCTCTTTGAGGTCTTCCTTTATCGCTTCTCTGCATCGCTTCGCAAGTTCGGACGTAAGGTTTGGTTGCTTGCAGCTAGTGCAATTCCACGTTGCGACAGCTGAGTGTCTGCGAGACAAGCGTCTCTTCGTGACCTAGACTCCGGCTTTATAGCGTTAACGTGAAGATATTCAACGAGTTGATCGTACTCTTTGTCTATGATGTCGACAACGGTATCTTCCCAGGAGCCGACTAATGTTTTGAATGCATCCCAGTTTATGGTAGTTCTGGGACTTCGTTGTTTGAATTTAGCGGCTTTCTCTCCTCTCCTCGATAAACGGAAAGCTGCGCGAAGGAGGCGATGGTCTGATCCCATGTAGAACTTAGGAACAACAGCGACATCGGTCAGGGAAAACCTTCGATTTACTATGATGTGATCTATTTCGATATGGTACTCTCCACTGAGAGACTCCCACGTCCATCGCTGAGAAAGAGGCCTTTGGAATTGCGAGTTACCATGGATGGTTTTGGTCGTCATGATAAACTCAGGTAGCCTCTCACCCTGTTCATTCCATTCTAGTCCGTGGGCCCCTATGTGACGTTCTTCAGACGTTCTTCTAAGTCCAATTTTTGCGTTAAAATCTCCGACAATGACTTTGAAAAATGTATGAACTTCTCTGAAGAGTTTTTCGAGGTCCATACAGAAAGCTTCGACTTCATCTTCGTCATAGGTTGATGTTGGTGAGTAAGCAAAGAAGATGGTCAAAGCCGGCATAGAACCACATCGTTTCAACCGTAATCGTCCGATACGGGTTGTTAGTTGATCAAACGAATCAATGCTCACGGTCAAATTCGATTTGACGAGGACGCCAACGCCACCGACACCTCTGCGATCGCATGTTCCAAGGAACAGTTCTTCTCCGGTGTCATAAACAGCGTGAAAAGGATGGCGCCTTCTCGTCTCAGCCAGGCCAATGACGTCGTACCTTATTCTTCTTGCTCAAATCAATGGATCTTCTACAGCGGATTCGTGAGCAAGGGTTCTTGCGTTGTAGGTACAGATCGTCATTTTAGTCCGTTTCGATCTTGGGCCTAGTTTGGCCCTGAGATTTTAGCAGCCTCTCCGTACTCGTCCTACGTGGCGCTGCCGTACCAGGGGCTATTTCGGAGTCAGCTGTATGAGGCCCATATTTGCTGCTGTTTTTGGCATTTCGATACCCAACGTATAGCTTGCCAGGCTCTAAACGTGGGGCTGGGTACTCACGAGTAGCTTGCCAGTCTCTCTCGGAGGAGCGGGAGGAGCTTATTTGTTGGAGGCGACTCCTAACCGCCTCCCATGTACTTCCCAGCCGCTTGATTGCAGGCTTTTGGCCGACTTGACTCGTAGAAATAGAGTTTTTGTCAAGTTGGCGCTGCAGAAGCAAGGAGCTCATCCTCTGAATCCACCTGCGTCTCTGCGAAGCACACGGTCGCTTGTGGTTCGCGTTTTATTCCCCTATCTACCACCTGGGGACGCGCCACGTGCCCTCGCGACTAACCGGGCGGGATCCCTCAAAGAGGGAGGTCCGTGGGGGGAAATATATATATATATATATATATATATATATCATATATGTATACGATATACATGTATAATCTATGTCTAATTCGTTAAGTTGCGCTCGTGTTCTCCCCAAATACACAATATGAATATCTGTATTTCACACTTATGATGTAAGCACTCGTTGACTGCTCTGTTATTTGCCTGGCACAATCAAAATGTTAAACACCCGTGTTTGAGGAGCGAGTTGCTGTGTCCACTACGGAGACTTGCGTAAAAATGGAAAAGGGAGATCATAAACCTGGCAGAACTACTGCATATGTATTATTTACGTACATTTATGTGATCCTCCAAAAGAAGAAAATGTAAATAAATCGTCCACATGTGCACATACAACTCAACTCATTTGTGATAGCAGGCTCTGGATTCAGTTGACTCATTACGTAATAACTGGCATTATAGAATTTGAATGAATACCTTTCATCATGAACTAATGAGCGGAGTTGCACTGATGATGAACAGTGGCATTTAGTAATTGGTTTCCTCTTCTGCATTAGGATACAAAAGAAACCATTTCGTGGCAAGGAAGGCAACTCACTCCTGTGCTGATAGTTCAGGAAAGTTAATTAACACAGTCATCAGCTTATAGCGAAAAATTGCTTGGAAGCGAGTCCATCACTCAAGTGGTAAAAGTATTAGAATAACCTCCATTTTATCTACTAAGCTTGTAAAAAAGTGTGCAGATGCCTTCAAAATCAAATAAATGCCATGTTCTTTGAGCGCTGTCCATACGGGTGCGTAAACTTTATGTTCAAGGTCCAGCTCTTGCGAAGGATGATTTCTACTTTACTACTGCATGCATAAAAAACTCTTGAACAAGACGATATACAGAAAACTTGTCCCACACAGAGAGGCTGCAGCAAACAATGGTTGTGTAACCCACAGAGAAGTTCAACTTGTAGATATGGTGTACCACGAGAGAAAGTTGGCACTAAAAGATGGTTAAGCAGTTCAAGGTAAGACGCGTAATTGCAAACATGTGAAAGTGTAGAATGAAGAATTACGCACACAGGATAAGCTAAATCCAGAGATTACTCTCTGTTGAACTGGGAACGGTCTCTGTAATGCTCATATATGTTGGGCTTTTGATGAGTAAAAAAAAAGTATTTTCAACGAATATCATAAGGAAATTTAACAAATTGTAACAGGTAATTTTGTGAGGA